ATGAAGGGCGGAGCTATAGAGAAAAAAAGAAAAAAAAAGGGCTGTTAATGTGAATGCTTCGGAGGATAATTGTGCTTATTTTTTAAATTATATTTTATTTAAAAATATATTAAAATAATATTTTTTTATTTTTTAAAAATTATATTTTATGTAAACATATCAAAATAATTTGAAAAAACTAAAAAAATATTAATTTAAAATAAACAGTAATTTTTTTTAATTTTTTTCGAAAATATTTTTAAAATATAAAAATAAATAGGATATATAAAGAAATGAAAGATAACCAGTAAAGAACTTTTAAAAAGATATATTTTATGGTTTAGTAGAGATTATTTTTTAAAATTTATTTTAAAATTATTAATTAATTATGTAAAAATAATGTAAAAATATATAAAATAAATTAAAATTAAAAAAATATAATTTTTTAAAAACACAATTTCTTCGCAATACCAAACAAAATATTAAATGAAAAAACTGTCAATGACCGAATTTCTCCCGTTAGTATCCGGCTGGTAAAATTGAATAACCACAGAGAATAATACACACCAACAATTGTGCGCGGTTTGTAAACTAATGGAAATTATTATCAGCAACTGCAATTAATTACCTAGAGCTAGAATCAATCGGTAGTCGGCTGCAATTACTCTCTCCCCCCCCTTCTGCCATTTTTACCAATTCATGAGAAATTATTTTTAAGAGGTTAGTAAATGAATTTATTTGAAAGAGCATCAATGCAATTGATCATGATCTGTTAGGAATTAGTATCGGCCGATTTGTAAAACAACAAAACAGTTGAAAATAAACACAATATTAAAGATTATTTCCAAAGACATGCTCCTGCAGAAAGCGATGAAAGGGAACGGGGACCATGACATATAGGGAGAGGGAGAGAACGGGGGCCAGTATATCACTTTCTTGCATTGACATTTTCTCAATATTCCTGACATTTTAACTTGAGTTATCATTTTTGATGCTCTCGTAGTTTAAATATAATGTAAACGCAGTCTAAATAATCTGATCGCTGTGGTTTTTAGCTCTGATCGATGATTTAAGGCTGGATCACAAGTGATCCTGCTGCAACCGAGATCTAGTTAAATATATTTTTAGTCGCTAAGAAGAGCAGATGCAGGTGCTACGGTGCTCGCCTTCCCATGCTGAATGGTTGCTGGGTTTTTACCTTCCCTTGTTTAACGAGTTTTATTGATCATGGTGTTTTGCGAGTTGGCAGAGGCTTTCTTTTTTCTAACTTCCTTTTTGGTGAGAGCCATTTCTTTACTCTATATTATTGTTGCTGGGCTCCGTTAAGAGGAGAGGGGGAGTCTGTCATGTGCTTTGATCACCAAATCCCACATGGCAACTCACATGGCCACTGGCTCTTGATTAAATTATGAATAATCCCGACTGGGGCACCGGGAAAATCTTTGGAGTGTCAAACATGTGATCTTTTCTAGCTACCAGCACTGTGGACAACATCTCTACATGTTTAATTAAATTACAAAAGAAAAAATCAATTAAAAAAGAAACAATGAATTGAGCCCATGAGAAGTTATTGTACCTATGAGGAATGCAAAAACAAAAAAACAAACTAATGTTTTAAAAATCACCGTACGAAGAATCTTATAAAAAATATATATATATGTTGAATATAAAATTAAAAAAATCATATATGAATCATGCCTATCTCTTTAAAAACTAAATATATCTAATATCAATAAAAAAAATTATTACAAACTAATTAAAACATAAATTCAAAATTTATTTGAAAAGAAATATCAACTAATACATTATATTTTTTTTAAAAAATCAAAATTAAAAAGAAAAAAAGAGTTTATATTTGTTTTTAAATTTAATGGGACGAATAACACGTTTGGCTATTTATTCCCATAATCTAGCTCGACTCGGCAGATTGATTTGGAACTCGAGTTCTAGACTGGATTTCAAATAGATAAAATTTAGGTAACTTGCCAAGTGAACCTAGAACCTGAGTGATCTAAAGTAATTCAGGCGAGATCTAATTATTTTTTATTTTATTTTATTTTATAAATAAAAAATATAAAATTAGTTTATAAATACTGCATTCCACATGTTTTTTTCATTGTCTATATTTGTTTATTAAAATATAAAAAATATAAGAAGGCACAGGGATTGCTGCTTTGTTTTAATAAAACCATCACACATGATTTGTGTGTATTAAAAAAATTAACATGGCAGACTGTTTGAATCTGGCACCATATGAAGGGTTGGACCTCATTTTCCTACCTTGTCTCTGCTTCCAAATTATTAAAAACCCATCTTGTATTCGAACGATCACATCAAAGTGGCGTTTATCATGCATCGATCTTTTGTTTTTGGTTTAATGTCTTCATCAACAGCTTTATAATCTTATTGACAATCGATGAGCTGAAATCCAAAAAATTCCTGATCAGCGGGTAGTTGTTGAAAGCCACTTCACCCTGATTAGAAATATATTATAGGATACGTGGACGGACCATTTAGCATACATACAAGAAGGATTTAATTTCAATTATGCAAGAAATCTTGCTCGAGGAAGGAAAGAAAGAGTCAAAAGAAGCAAAATACAGGTGTTCGGTCTGTCCCTAAAGGCTCCAGATGTTCAAGAGATTTTGATTCGAAAGAAGCTACAATATATCGGCAAATGATTTGCCATGGAAGAAAATCCAATCAATTTTTTTTCTTGGTGAATCTTCGAACGTTTATCTCTTTCAGATTTGCTTGTCGACTGACAACATGTAGTCGCGTGGACATGAATACAGAAGGTTATGAGACATCTGTAATTTTCTTCGTCAGAAGTCCGCCCCTCCCTCCCTCCGAAGGATATCTCAGTGGCTCAAACTCGACCTAACGAGGGATTGGTTCATCCGTTAAACAGTACTTGTCTACCTTGCAATAGAGCCTCAGTTTGAGCGATGACATTGCAGATCTTTGTTGGTGTTAAACCTTTACCTCTTTGGTGTCCAGCTCCAGTTATCCCACCATAACATGTGAAAACCTGTTACCCTAGAGCTCAATTCTAATCATACCGTCTAAATCATTAATCTAGTTGAACTCGATAAATTCCACCACTTATGGTCACGGCGATTTGATTAGAACACATTTGAGACAAAAATATTTTTAATTTGTTTTTCTTGGGACTGTTTTTTTTTCAAGAAAAAAAAATTCATATAAATTAACAAAAGCTATTATTTTGATATGAATCTCAAAGCTATTATTTTGATATAAATCTCATAATCATGTCGTTATATAATCTAGTAGTAAATACTAAGAAGTCAAAATAAATTTATTAGAAATATGCTATAATAAAAAAATGTTTACACACACTAGTCACACTAGTATTATTGGAATAAGAACTTTCATTCTATAAATATTATTTTGTGAACAAGAAATATAAAAATATATTTCAAAATTAATTAATATTTAATAAGTCGGTTTTAGTTTTTAAAAAAATAAAAAAAATATAATAAATCCTCTCAACACTCAATAACAATAGCTCCACAACAATTTTGATTAATAAACTTAATAAAAAAATATCTTCCAAGGAGTTTTTATACTCCAAATAAAAATACTCTAATATATTTATTTTAATGAGTTAATTTGATTCTACTTATAAAATTAACCTAAAATAGATGAATAAACCAAAATTCTAAAAAACATGTTAAATTCAAGCAAGACTTGAAATATAGCTAAAGCAACTAAAACATTTAAGCTCAACCAAGCCCACAAAATAACAAACCTAATATTTAAACAACTAAACATATTAAGGTAAAAACGAAGGTTGACTTGACTTTGGGCAGCCTAAAAGAAAAATTAAGTTCCAAACAATAAGTTTATATAAACAATTAAATTTTAGGAAATTAAAAAGAAGCGAGAATAAGTAAGAGACTTGCTTAAATAATGTTTAGTAGTCATCCTTTATTTCCATGTAATCAAGAAAAAGATGCTACTCAGAGTCTCCTTGGAATTGAAGGAGAATTTGTGCCAATACACCTCTAATCCTCTGCCATTTATTAGTCCCCAAATCACTAGGAAACTTTCTTGTTCGTAGAAAAAGGATTGATTTGACCTCTTGTCCTCTACCATTTTAGAATTCTTGGTGATCTTACCTTCCTTGTAGAACTTGAAATCTTTGCAAAAGTATATGAGTAATATGCTCTCATACATGTCTCCAAATAAAATAAAAAATCCTTTTCAAGTATAGAATTCAAAAACTCATAAGGAAAGATAATTCTAAACCAATTAGAATAAATAGTGTAATTTTTGTATAATAACTTTTAACCTGTATCAAATTATTTTATTAAACTTTAATTAACTTAAAATTTTATTCTAATATAAATTAACATATCTAAAATTATTTATTGAATTTAAAATTATACTTAAAAATCAAATAATAAAAAACATTAAACCCAAAACAATAATTTTTCTAGTGAATTCAATTCTTAAACTTATAATGGTCTTGCTCAACATCTCAATTGAATTCATTAATTTCATAAAATGATATGTATTAAATTTTGTGTTGTATTTTAATAATTATTATTTTTTAAAATATTTTTTATTTTGAAATATATTAAAATAATATATTTTATATTTTTAAATTTATTTTTAATATCAGTATATCAAAATAAACTAAAAATATATAAAAAAATAATTTTTAAAATAATAAAACAAAGGCTCTAAAACAAGATCTACCTGGTTATTCACGTCGTGTGTCGCGTGCCTCCGATCATTTAGAAATCCTAAATTTTATGGAATTCTGAGGTTTGGGACACAAATGTAAACAAACATCGAAATACGTGACAAGGCCCAATCGACACATACAAAACCAGCTGAAACCAGCTCTCCACAGCCCAAATCTTTCAGGATAGCTTTTCTTTGTTGGTCTTATTGGGCTTAAGTGGCCTGCCAAGTGACATGACAGCCTGGCAGCCTCGACCCTACCTCCATTCACATGCCATTCTGAGAGAACCACCAACGTTGTTCTAGAGTAGCGACATGTCGTTTTTCAGTTTTTTACAAATAAATAAATAAATAATAATCTGTTCTTGGCGATCACTACAGGTTTTTTGGACGCTCTTCAGCTTCGAGACCAGAAAATTTAGGCAATCAAGGTGTGATCTTTCTTTATATTTACTGAGAAGATTTAAGATTTCTGTGACCCATGAAGGAGAATAAAGTAAGTCAATGAGAAATTAAGCGAAATCAAAACAATGGTTAGAGATTGTCCAGCTTGGGTGGTTCAACCTAAGTGCCTCCTTCTCTTCGTTGTCCTGCTTATTTTTCTCATCTTTGCCTTTACCAGTCCTAAACAGGTATATTTCGTGGTTGAAGTTTTGTTTTTTTTTTTTCTATAAGATTTTGTTTTTCTTAGGATTATTTGGATCCAGACTTGTGGGTTTTGCTTGGATTTTGATTTTGGGTTTTGGGTTTTGTTTACGAGGTAATTGGTTTGTCAGTGGTGGTTGTGGATTTATTGAAAATTGAGTGGATCAGTGAACTACTTTAGAATGCAGCATTGCCTGATCTAAAGTAGCAGTGTTGTATGTTTTGTCTGTGAATTTTAGCGCTGATATATAGTTGAACCATAAGCAAGCAGTAGTTGTTGTGGTATTCTGGTTCTCCTTTTGGATTGTGTACCAAAGGTTTCCAGATGTTAGCATCTTGTTTGAGCCTTCAGTTTCTTGTGGCCAAGCTTGTACGTAAATTGGTAGATTAGGCAAAGTGAGTCATTGTATTTCATGAATCTTTATAAGGGATCCATAGTCTCAAATTAACTGTTATGATGAGAAGCCGAATCAATAGCATTAGTTACTTGTCATGCTAGATATTTTCTCCCTTCTTTTTTGTTCAGTGCCGTTTGATTTGTTTAATAATTCTTTCAGTTTCCAACAATGCTGCAATGCTTGTTGTTTTGTGTTTGTGAAGTGTTGAGCTACCGTTTTCAATTTGTTGCTTAGGATGAGGTGAAGGAAGAAGAACAGGAGTATGAGATAACTCATAGAGTATACTTGGATGTTGATATTGACGAGCAACGTCAGGGTACAGCTCTTTTATCTGTAGTATTGAAGAACATGCAATAAGAAGTAATATTTTGCAAAATCTCCCTTCTTTTCTCTAAGAAGAATCAGAAAGTAGAAAAGCAATTTTCTAAAGTGCACTTATCTATTGGCTGTTATGCATTGGATTGATGCCCCATAAGTTTGTTCTCCTTATTATCTCTTATTAATTTCAATAATATGTCTGGATTTCTGCAGGTAGAATTGTTATTGGATTATATGGAAAGGTTGTATCAAAAACTGCAGGTATTTTTTGATATACTGTGCATGTGAAAGACAATCTACCATCATTTTGCAAAATCAGAATTCAAGAGATAATCACCATTTCCATGATGAACTATTTGAGGTTTAGTACATTTATAATTTAGATGGTTAAACTGGTGATCTAAGCTTTAAAACTTGTAGTGAAACTTCTTCCACTCTTTGCGAACAAACAATGTCATGGTTTCATTGGCTTCTTTACAAGCTTCAGATAACTTGTTTAACAGCTCCTTGTTCTTGTATATAAAGATCATCCGGGCATTATGCTTTTATAGAGGCTCTTTATCTTCTTCTCTCTGTTATCTGATATATTATATTCCCATTTGTTTTCTCTGCTACTCTGAATTAAGTAAATCTTGTTCAACACTATCTTTTTCTAGCATTGATAAAAAAAAAAAAAATTCTATGATCACCACTTCAGAAATTCTTGATTCACTTTTCAAATAAGTACTTATTGGAACCAAGTTTACCCTTGAACCAGTTCAGACAAGTATAAATTGGGACATAGTCAATATTATTCTTTTTGTGCTAGCCCTAACAAGCAACTTGATTTAAAGAAAGAAATTGAAAATCTTATCATGATTTATTTGGAAAGCTGGACTGGGCCATTGAAACTGACCTTTATTTGTCAAACCCATTACCAAAGTGTGTCTAATAATTGATTTTTTTTGCTTTCCAGAAAATTTCAGGGCTTTGTGCACAGGTATTTTCTCTCTTCTTTGTAGTAACTTCTCATTCTATGAATCCCTTTGCTTCCATTGTCAGTGATGGAAGAAGCCATTTCTATAATTTATGTCTTAATATAATTATCACAATTCCCTTGCAGGGGAAAAAGGTAAGAGTGCGAGTGGGAAGCCCCTCCATTATAAGGGAACACCTTTTCATCGGATAATATCTGGTTTCATGATTCAAGGCGGTGACATAGTTTACGGTGATGGGAAGGGAAGCGATTCTATATATGGAAGCATCTTTCCAGATGAGAATTTTAAGATAAAACATTCACATGCAGGTTATTCAATTCATCATTATGCTCATTTCTGATTGCTTTACAAGGCCACCATGCATGAATGGGGTCGTGTTTGGTTGGGGGGGCAAGTCCCTTGAATATTACAAGGGTAATTTTTACTTGTTTTTGGTGAAGGAATTGAGTTGAGATTAATCATTAAGGGAGGATAATATCTACCCTCCAAATGGCAGACGGGGGATTTAAATTTTATCCTCTAATTTTCGTTTTCTTTCTTCTTGTTTGTCTCAAAAGTCTCACCTAAATAATTTTTTATTTCTCTCTCCCAAATCATTACTGGTAATTTAATTGGTTTCTGTCTCTTTCCACTAACAATTTACACTTACATTTATTAACGTTCTGAGCATCTATAAAAACTAACTTTTACACGTTTGACAATTACTTTTGAAAATTTCTTGTCTCATTCTTAACCTTATACCGAATGCCACCTTAGTAGAATCTGCAGGTTATTCTCGATTTTGAAGTCTGCTCTTTATTATCGTCATTTTTCCCACTTTGTTCGTTCCTTTTCTGTAGGAGTTGTTTCCATGGTGAATTCAGGACCAAATTCCAATGGCTCTCAGTTTTTCATCACCACCATTAAGACTAGCTGGTAAGTTACTGAGAAATGTAGATAATATAAAGAATAATCTGGCTGGGTTAAAATAGCTGTTTTCTTGTAACCTAGCAAAACCCGAGTCTGAACAGTTCTTAGCTGTTTTGGATTATCTAGTTGTAATGCATTTCAAGCCATAAGATAAGTTCTCTTTACCACCCACAACAAATCTGTCTCTGAAAGAAGCTATTTGCTACCGCAATAATGCAGTTTTATCAATCGGATTTAGCTAGTTATCCGATGAATTGCCATTGACAAAGTAATTATGCAGGAATTTTGCATCGTCGAGACTAAATCTATACCAGACCTATACTGATCTCTGGATGCATATGTCTATTTGTGTAGGCTGGATGGAGAGCATGTTGTTTTTGGAAAGGTTATCCAAGGAATGGATACGGTTTATGCAATTGAAGGGGGAGCAGGAACTTACAGTGGAAAACCCAGAAAGAAAGTAATTATTGCTGACTCAGGAGAGATACCTAAGGACAAGTGGGATGAGGAAACTTGAACCTCCTTTAACACCAGCTAGTTTGTGTACTCTGAGCTTGTTAATTTGTGATTTAGATAATCGATTAGTATGCTTTTCGTATTCGATAACTGTTGTTAATAGAAACTTGCCAGTGGTTTAGCAACCATATAAATTGTACTCATAAGCTTGTTAACCCCACCTCAATTTTTAATTTTTCTAAGGTAGCATATGTTATTATATTAATGGTTGTTTTTTAAAGTATTTTTTATTTAAAAATATATTAAAATGATATTTTTTATTTTTGATATCAATACAAAAAAATAATTTAAAATAAAAAAAATCATATTTTTGCTAAAATGCATAACATGGTTTTTTGCAATCCTAGAGATCCGTTCGTGTGTCCTGGGGACTTTATCAAGGTTTAATTTCTTACGGCTTACTAATGCAAATTCTTGGACCAGATTAGTAGTCTATAATATTTCATTGGTTGAGTTAAATTTTTTTATTTAATCTAGTTTAACTTATTAACACTTGACTTTAAAACTCAAACCCTACAATTTAATGTTAAAAGGATGAATGTTAAAAAAAGTTTAAAAAAAAAATATTGAAAAAAAATTAAATTAATTTGAGTTAACTTTACTAATTTGTCAAATACGTATGAGATCGGGATTAAAAATTTAATTTTTTTAAAATAATCTAAAAAAAGAGATCAAAATAAAATGATAATAATAATAATAAAACTTAGCCAACATGTGCTAACTTAATTAACCTACATCTAGGATAACCCTGTAAGAAAAAAAAATAAAAAAAATTACAAAACTTAAAAGCTAATAATTTAATGTTAAATAAAAAAAAATTATAAAATAATTTTATAAAAAAATATTAAAAAAACCCCGAGTTAAACCTGGATAACTTGAGTAGCTCGGGATATGAGATAAAGATAACAACGCATAAAAAAATAGAACAAATTATAAAACTCGAGGTCCAATAACTCAATGTCAATAATAAAATTAAAAAATATATAATTTTTAAAAAGAACTTTGAAAAAAGTGAATTTAAACCAAGCTAATCTTAGAAATTATTGACTTGAGTCATAAAACCAAGATTACCTTATAGAAAACGATGAAAAAATAACAAAGAAAAATTCTTAATTATAAAAAATTAAAAGTCAAAATAAATAGCAATTAAGATAATAAGGATCAAATTTTATACAAAAAATAAATGAAAGAAATTAATTAGGGATTAAAATGAGAAAAATAGCAATAAAAAAATAAGGATTAAAATTTAATAAAATATTGAAGAAAAAAATTAAAAAAATCCAAGCAAAGGATAACAAAACATAAATAAAAAAAAATGAATATTAAATTTGATATAAAAATAAAATAAAATAAAATATTTAAGGATGAAAATTAAAAAACAATAAACTTTAAAAGACATTAAAATTAAAATAAATAGCAATTATAAAAAATAAAATAAAAATAAAATTGAAAGTTACTGTTAAGTCTTTAATGGCTTGATGCAAATATTGAGCCCTAGGAGAAAGAAAAGAGGGGAAGGAGAAAAAACTTCTCCGTCATTATCGTATCATTATGGATATGAATACACGAGCCATCTCATTATCTACGCTATCAATGGACACGTCAGATGACACGATAATTGGTAGTTTTTTGTTGTCATACAGCTCCCCACACACTGTTAAAAAGCTGTGAGGGATGACCATGCGCAAACGCATGTGTTTGTAATCTTTTTAATTAATATTTTAATGTGTTAAATTACTAAATAATCCCTAAATGCATTTGAATATTACAGGAAAAAAATAGTTTAAAGATTAAGATGCCATTTCAAACCAGGCATAGAGTTTTTTTTAAAGGTTAATTATGTCATTTTATTATACTAAAAATATGAAAAGACAAAAAGAAAATCTCCATTAAAGTTAAGTAATTTTTAACTTTTAATGGTGTTTGCATCATTTAACTGTAAAAAAAAAAAAAGCCTTTAAGCAAAAGGTTAATATTTTTTTGTTTTCATTGGCAATAGAATCATTTTCCTGTTGAGCATTAGATCCTATGGAGTAAAAAACGATTTTACCCTTAGCTGGGTGAACGGTTTTCGCAGAGAAGGGAAAAGGAGAAATAGAAAATGCACTATGCTAATGTACAATGCATTGTCTCTTAGGCTATGCAGTACTACATTACTGATCTATTTTAGGTTTTTTTTATATATAATTATAATTATACTAGGATGACTGAAGAAAAACAGAAACCTTGCATGTCGTTTTCTAACAGTGGAGATCGTTGTTGTCAGCTACCTGGGCACTGGGACCGGCAGGCAAAGGAAACTGGAGCAGCTAAAATATTAATGGATATCATGACACAGCAAATAAACTTCTCCTTCACATGGAAGGTTTGACTTCCACAGAAATAATCACAAGGACAAACAAGTAGACATGGCAAATATTTAGTATCTTGTTTCTGGTGTTACCAGCTGGGGATATTCGCATCAACTTTCGGTCCCTGAGGCTAATTCTTTTATACGGACCTTGAATTTAATCTTTCCTGTGGTCTGGAGGGGGAAAGTACCCTGGGATAACACGTGATTCTCGCAAAAAAAAAAAACAAGACAGTATACTATATCTCACCTGAGGCTGTCCAGAACATCGATGCTTTTTAATAATCTGGATGAGATGATATTAGAAGATTTTAAAAAGATTATTATAATATGTTTTCAAAATCGTTAAAAAACAGAATAAGAAAACATCGACAAATGGTTTTACCAAGAATTACTACCATTTTTCACTCTCCAGGACACCGAATAATTGTCAAAAATGGTAGTAAAATATCACTAACGTGTCGTAGTTAATCACTTGCATCATCCCCACCATCTTCCACACTGTACAGACTCAAAATCCATCAGATCATACACAACTCATACAGGGACAGCCGACAACAAATAAACCCAAAAGGATGGATGCTCTCTTCCTTATCACCACCACCACAACCTTAACCTGCGTCTAATAAAACTGCCGCGGCCTCCTCCAC